TGAAACTGCTCATAACACTGAAAAGTTACAGAGGCGAGGGAAAAATTGTTTGTGAAAGTGGATTATTCTCATCAAAGGGTTCCCGAAAATATTTTCACGCTGATGTTTCAATTACACAAAATGTGCCTTTTTATTTTTAAATTAAACTCTATGTAAAGTTTAATTGTCTCGGGTGTTTGATTGTGTTTTGAGGTTCCGTACCAAAATGGTAAAAAGGAACTTTGTCCCGGCCACACTTTGTTTCAGTAACCACAAATACTATCAATTTGAAATATGAAATAGAATCAACAATGGGATTTTTTGTAGTATAAGTAAACACATAACACCGTGGAATAACTACATGGGACAGATAAAAGAAACACTAGGTGTCATGTCGTATAGGGAGGTCAAGGACTGGAATAGAGCTGACTGGAAGTAGATACATGAATTAGTTGCACCGACAAGAGGAAACTCTCAAATGAAAAGAGAGAAATAAACACAGACGTACGGAGAAAAAAAATAGGCAAAAAACAAATTGCTATTCTTTTAGTTTGCTTGTAACTGGATAAACATGTCTCAGGTAAATATCCTTGGAGTAAATGTAAACGTTGCCACAGATATAAGAATAAATATACTGGGTAGAAGTGACATTCATATGATACTCTTCTATGTGAATGCTGGAAATCGCCAAAGTGGTCCATTCTTCCCTTCAGATCTCGCAGGTTTTTTTTTGATGGGTGAAAATGGTATGGTAACCCCGCCTGCGCTAACGGGATACGCTGGCGGAGCACCAGAGAAGGGTGATAGATGAGAATGAAAACGGGCCAGTTAGCCCATCATGATGAATTCATCAGGAATTACCAGTTTCCAGGGAGAACCGCGAGGAGATTGACCTGATTGGGTATATTGCTAGCAATGGGATTCTCAGTCTCCATTACTAGCAACCCCTTTCCCCCCGCAATGAGGCTGTTAGACTCCATTACTAAAAAATCCTTCCCCCCAATATTAATACTAGAAAATATAATTCCATTTGTCTAAAACATCTAAAAAGTAATTATTATTATTCAATTTACGGGAGTGTCGCTTCCACCTGGGTATTTATTCTTATGGTATGGGATGGTACAGGTAAGCTGTAAGCGAAAAAATCAAGAAAAAGATGACTCAGCATTATACAAATTACGCAAAGGAAACATTCAATTCGGCAGTATGGTAAAATGGGCGAGATCCCCTTTGAAAAGAAAAAAGGAAATTAGAGCTTATTGCATTTACTGGCACGGGGACAGGGATCCATTCTGAATAGATACAGAGGAATAAATAGTTTTTTTAATAATAATAGATAAACTTTATTTCTTTAAACAAAATTGGCTTGTAGTTTTTTTTTATACCACTGAGGTGGCAAACAAGCATACGGCCCACCTGATGGTAAGCGGTTACCGTAGCCTATTAACGCTTGCAATACCAGAGGTATTACGCGCGCGTTGCCGACCCTAAAGAAACCTCTTTACCCCCCTTTTGAAGAACCCCATGCTGTAGTCTCTTGGGAAAACCTCGGCAGGGAGCTCATTCCATAACCTGAGTGTTCGTGGGAGAAAACATCTCTGAAACCGCGTTGTACGCGGTACCAGAGATACACACTTTTCTATACACTATCAGATATACACTTTTCTTGAAGGTTATGTTGTCATATCGGTTCGGAAATACTGCTGCTGGAAGTTGATTCCAAAGAGTGGTTGTGCGTGGAAGAAAGTGCTTTGAAAAACGCACGGTGAAGGACCGCCACTCGTCCAGATATTTGGGATGAAACTTTAGTTTATGGCGGGTTGTACGGTGGTGAAAATCAGCAGCAGGTATCAATCCGAACAATTCTTCTGAGCACTCCCTATTATAAATTAGGTAGAATATGCACAGAGATGCAACATCTCTATGAAGTTTCAGTGGGTCGAGCCGGACAGTAAGGTGCCAATCGTCAAAAATTCTATTGTTTACAAGCACTTTTAATTCGTAATTTTTTTTATGAATGCAGGGTTCGTAAAGTTGTTATCTGTTGAGAAGAGCCCGCAAGAAACTGTTAACATTATGTGTATTTATTTAAATGTATAGTACATTCTAAAAGTAGTCTAAAATAACATGGTCGTTGAAAGTCCGTGCGTGACCGACTAACACCATGCACATGGGGGGAAAAATGGATTGTTAGTAATGGAGACTGAGAATCCCATTGCTAGCAATATACCCAACCAGGTAGATCTCCTCGCGGTTCCCCCTGGAAACTATCATGATTAATTCCTGTTGAATTCATCGTGATGGGCTAACTGGCCTGTTTTCATCCTCATCGATCACCCTTCACTGATGCCCCGCCAGCGTATCCCATTAGCACCGGCGGGGTTACCATACCATTTTGATCCAATAAAAAAAAACACCATGCACATTTGTCATTCAAGTAATCGTTTAGTGTGTAATTTTAAATTTATTAAAAGACAAACCCACTAATTGCCCACTACTGGATATAGACTTTCTCCATAAGGGGAGTTTTGCCAGTAGTTGCCACGTTCGGCAGGTGGGTTGGCAACCGCAGTTAGGCTTTGGTGATGTTTAAAGATGCTGATGCCCATTTCTCGACCATTAATACCTCTCAGTCGCCTTCCACGATATCTACGGGAAAGAAAGGTGCGGCCTATTCTACGCCGGGACCACACAGTGATTCATAATACCTTATCAAAGACATCAGAAAACACTCTAATGTATAATGAATTATGCGTGAATTTACTGGGTACAGAGGAATAACACCTGAGTCCTCAGGAATGGCAACGCATGGGGAGTATCATGGGCGAAACAGTATACTCTGTTATGTCCATGGCACTGCTCATGTCTATAGGCGACGGTTACCACTTCACTTCAGGTGGGCCGTCAACTTGTTTGCCATTCTAAGTTGTATAAAAAAATAAATATAAATAAACTTGAAACATTACTCTTAAAAGCGGCATCTGTAGGCGTGTATAAAGCATGGTGTATACCGCACCATTAGAAACAAAGCGAACCGTCTGTTTCGTGGAGAGAGAATAATTTATTTATTACTACGTATAATTTGCTGTTTTTCATTCAATCCAAACTCATCCAAGCGTTCGACAGGGCGGCGAAACAAAGAACAATACCCCTCCCTCCATTTCCTTTACGCAGATACCCCCTTAAAAGTGATAGAATTATTTGTTCAGAAATTAATTCAAAATCACTTCATTATACAAACAATAAAGGCCTTTTGATTTTCTAACTAATGAAAAGTTAAATTAAGTAAGGCTTTAACGTCCGTTATAAATTTATAATTAATTAACAAATGTATGTATATTTGTTACATTTATATTTATAATTGTTACAATTGTCAGCAATGTTTATCATCCGCATGGTAACTGTGAGCCGAAGGATAAGTAAACTGAAGTGGCAGTGGACTGGTTACATAGCTCGAAGAACCGACAACCGATGGGGATGAAAGGTTCATGAGTGACGACTCCGTACGGGTAAATGTAGTGTAGGAAGACTCCAAACTTGATGGAATGACGACCTCAAATGCATTGCAGGTTTGCAGTGGATGCAGGTGGATCTTTCTTTATGTAACATGAGTTAACGGTTGATATGATGATGATGTAGATGATGATTATGGTGAGGATGATGATGATGATGATGATGATGGTGGTGATGATGATGGTTGTAATATTGGCAATGATGATGATGATGAGGGTAATGATGGTGGTATTGGTGATGATGATTTTAATGATGATGATGTTATGGATGGCGATGATGATGGTGATATGTTAATGATGGTGGTGATGATGGTAATGATGGTGATGGTAATGATGGTAAAGCTTCAAAATTAATTTCCAAAAATTCTTAATTGAGAGGCAAAAGTTAGACATTCCTGCAAGTTACCTCCATGTCCCATTTGTCTGCTAGTGAACTGTCATATCTGTCTGTTTACTGTATATTAATCTTTTTTTTTATTGTACGGATAATCTGGTAGTATTGATTTATTGTCACCCTATTCCCTTTGGCCACAACAGAATACGAGCAGTGCTTTGCTCTTTTGAGGGCGAAGCAATAAACTGAGTTGTGGCCATTTTGTATTGCTATGGCACACTCACAAACGAAAGTTGCATTTGGTTTTATGTATTTTTTTGCCATTTATGTTATCTCGCTTTTTTTGTGTATGTATGTTGTAATTTGTGTGCTGTAAGTAATGCAAATAAAATTATCTATCTAATTTCGGCGATGATGCTGGTAATGATGATGGTAAGATGGGTGGTGCTGCTACTGCTGATGATGATGATGATGGTGGTGGTGGCGATTATGATGGTGGTAATGATGATGGTAAGAATATTGCTGTTGCTGCTGCTGCTGATGATGATGATGGTGGTGGTGGCGATTTTGATGGTGGTAATGATGATGGTGGTGGTGATTATGATAATGGTAATGATGATGGCGATGATGGCGTTGGTGAAGGTGATGGTAATGATGATGGTGATGGTGTTGGTGATGACGATGGTGGTGGTGGTGGTGGTGATGGTGGTGATGGTGGTAATGATGATGGTGACTGTTACAATAAACTATGCCACGCACGATCTTTTCTTATTTGTAAGAGATGTTTAGTTGTCTACTGGCTAGCTACGAGTATATGGTTATAATGAATACAATGGTAGCTGCATATACGTATTTAAGGAGTGGGGGGATCTGGTGGGCTATGTCCACCATAGAATTGTCTGATGCCTACCCCAGACGCGAGCGGAGCTTTTAACTACGCGCGAAGACATGTATGAGAGTAGAACAGGCCGCCCTCTGCTCCATTGCCAATATATCCTATCAGGTCGACCTCCACACGGTTCCCCCTAGAAACTGACCTGCTTTCATCTTCATCTTAATTATTTTTCATTGGTGCCCCACCAGAGGCTGCCTTCTAATGTTTACCCATTAAATAAAAGTACTCTAATCTTCGCTCTTTGGAAGAGGACCTTACCCGGTAGTAAACGACAACTTACCTCTTGTCAAAATCGTGAAGATCCTCAGAAGTGAACTGGCTCGTCACATCCAGCAGCTGTTGTATGTGATCGCTGCAGACCCTGCTCTTGCGTCTTCCGTCCTCGTCCCTCACGAGGATAGTGGAACAGCCTCCATAGTCGAGGGAGAGAGACGGCTGTTGCACCACGATGGTCGTACGGCCGGCCGGTATGGTTGAGGCCGCCGAGTCTAAGGGGTTAGCTGTGACGTGGACTTGGGCTGCTGGTGGGGGGTTTGGAAAAAAAATGGTTCAATAATTTGACTAATATAAGTAACTTTTATGTATTAGATGTGTATTTCTTATGTATTATGTGAATGTATTTAAGTATGTTACAATATTTAAGTAAAATTTTTTTCACTATTATCATTCATTACCAGAGGGAGACTTTGTACAAAAGTCGTTTGCTTGGGCACCTCTGTACCATTCGTGTTTCTACTGTGAAGCAGTTGTTTGCATGGTTGTGTTTCGGTTTGAAGAGTGGGATATGGCAGTAAATTTACAGGGTACAGAAGAACAGAAGTCCTCAGGAATGACAACGCATGGGGTGTATCATGGGCGAAACAGTTCTGTTATGTCCATGGAACTGCTCATGTCTATAGACAACGGTTATACTTTCCATCAGGTGGGCCGTCAGCTTGTTTGTCATTCTAAAATGTAATATGAAATTAATTATATTTAAAATTAGGGTAATTGTAAAATCATTTTGTGATGGGTTTCAAGTGATCACATTAAGCACTGTATTAAACCAAAATAAATACCTGTAGATTGCCTTCTAGATGAAGGCGGAGGCACCGAGTGCTGGTGTGCGGAAGATCGTCTTCTACTCGTCGTAAATACTTCTGTACCCTCCAACTGCCTCCTCAACTTTGCAACCTCATCTTTATAGTACTCTTGTTTATCTAACTTCTGTTTATTCTTCATCCTTGGTTCACTGCCACGTCTTTTGACCGGTTCCGGTTCGAATTTGAAATGCGTTTCATATTTGGACTGATTGGCTTTTGGACTTTTAGGCATTTCCATTTTAGGATCGTATGGTATCTGTATAGACGTTGAAGGACCACTAGCTACGTTGACTTGTGTTTTGTTTCTCTTCTTCTCAAACCGTTTCGGATCTGGCAATGGAACGTCGAAGACAAATCTGGCCGGCCCTGGTCTGGGGGAATCTATGACGTCTGAAGCTGACTGGGGTTTTGTGTAAACGGGAGATTCCAATTCGCAACTATTCTGAGCTCGATGATAGTGAGGTGGGGCTGTGCTTGGGGGGTTGTGAAAGGGCTCCGCGTCCATGAGGCTTGGGGATTGGTGCGGCAACTCAGGCGGTTCAGGTTCAGCTTCCATGGAGTCGTCTGTCCCCGTGATGGAGGTGAGGGCAGTGGCTGCGGAGTCGGTGCTGGTGTTGATGGTCTTGTCTGATGTCGTGCTGCTACCCATGACGACCACCTGCTGGCAAATGAAAACTTTCAATTAGTATTGAATTAAATGATATTTTAGTAACTGATAAAGAAAAGAGGGTAATGCTTTTTGAGTGTATATACAAAAGTTAAAAGCTCCAGCTCTTGGACGCATACTGTGATTTATGTCTTTTTTTATACCACAAAGTTGACAAACAAGCATGCAGCCCGTCTGATAGTAAACGGTCACTGTAGCCTATGGACGCCTGCAACACCAGGAGAGTCAAGTGCACGTTGCCGACCCTGAAGAAAGCTTAATGTAGCTTTTATGAAGAACTCCATACTGTCTCAAAGAAAAACATGCTTCACAGAAAATAGATAAATTGGTTTTTCTAATGGATGGAAATGGAAAAGTAACCCCGTATATTGATGTACATTGATGTATATGTAATTGTTAGGTACATATATGGGATAATTTAGTCGTATGCTACCATGTAATCCCAGCATAAAATGTTCCATCTCTTCCTTTCCCGTGGGCGTCGTAAGAGACGAAAAAGGGAACTTAATGGTCAAGGAATACGCAACAGTGTCCCATTTCAAACATCATCAAAACCTAACTGTGGTTACCAACCCGCTTGGCAAGCGTGGCAACTACGGGCAAACCCCCCTTATATATAAAATGGGGGAGACCTATACTCGGCAGTGTAGTATTGGTTGATATAATAAATATGGGATGACAGGTGAGAATTATATAAACGCTATTACCGGAGGGAGACTTTGTACAAAAGTTGATTGCTTGGGTACCTCTGTCCCATTCGTGTTTCAACCGTGAAGCAGTTGTGTTTGCATGGCTGTGTTTCGGTTTGAATGGTGGGATATGGCGTGAACTTACTGGGTACAGAGGAATAACACCTGAGTCCTCAAGAATGGCAACGCATGCGGGGTATCATGGGCGAAACAGTATACTCTGTTATATCCATGATACTGCTCATGTCTATAGGCGACGGTTACTACTTTCCATCAGGTGGGCCGTCAGCTTGTTTGACATTCTAAGTTGTACTCATATAAAAAAAAGCTTCATCATTTTTATGGACACCGCGTCGAGGACAATTTGAGTCCTTATTATTATTAATGTTATCCTTTCTTTTCTGCTCGGGTACTTTCTCTAAACAAGCTGACGGTCCACCTGATGGAAAGTGGTAACCGTCGCCTATAGACATGAGCAGTACCATGGACATAACAGTACACACACATACTGTTTCGCCCATGATAACCCCCATGCGTTGCCATTCCTGGGGACTCAGGTGTTATTCCTCTGTACCCTGTAAATTCACGCCATATCCCATCCTTCAAACCGAAACACAGCCATGCAAATACAACTGCTTTACGGTTAAAACACAAATGGGACAGAGGTACCCAAGCAAACGACTTTTGTACAAAGTCTCCCTTTGGTAAACCCTATTGATTGTAAAAAGAATGATTAAAATCGTTTCAGAGTAAAATTGGTAATTCGTAACATATCCACAATAATTTGAGATATTTTTCCATGACTTCAACCGAGACAGAATCAGTTATTGTTTGTGTTAGACCGATTTTGATAAAATTTCTCCACGACCGGTCTGAAAGTATATCCTTTCAGATAAAAAAAAGAATACTTCCAATCGGATTATAAATAACAAACAAAAAAAAAAACAACCGAATTCAGAAGCTCCTTTTTTTTAAAGGCTACCGATAAAAAATAAACCCACTTGAAAATCCTTCTTCTTTTTAAATTTGCTTAAACTCTTCGCCCTGGTTGAGTAAAATACAATTTTATTCCCACGCGAGTACCCCCCCCCCCCCCACTCCACTTTAATTCAAATATATTTCCTCTCATTCGCACTACCTACCCGTGGAAGTGTCGAGTTATAAGGCTCTAATGAGATTTGGAGCGCCGTTATATATTTCTTTGAAGCTGCATTTATACCTAACGAACAAAGATTCATATATATATATATATATATATATATATATATATATATATATTTCTCAGTAATTGGATAGTCCCAGAAAAAATATAATTTATATCCGTGGGTATTTAGGTGATTAATTTTAATTTGAAATTTTTATAAAATAAAACGACGTATTATTCGATTTCTTCTCTTACAAAGACGTTTGTATTATTTATTTTAATTTAATTTTTTTTTATTTATTTTTTTACGAAAATAATGTAAATATATTAAATCTATGTTTCGGTATTACTAGTTCTTACCCGCGACTTTGTTCGAGTGATCGGAATAATTAATTGATCGGGTCGAATATTTATTCTTGCTGGTTATTCTGAGCACAGATAATATATTACTATCTCTGAGTTAAAGATAGTTTCATTTGTTCTTCTAATATAGTTAATTGTTTGTTATAGTAATATTTATGCATTTACTTATGTACCAGAGGGAGACTGAAGACTGGAGTTGAAGGATAAGTATATGTAGCTAACTATATATATAGTTAACAAGCAATTTTTATAAAAAAGTATTTGATGTCTATCAGATTCGAACTCATGACCTTTGTTGTGTCTCGATGTAGGGCCGGGATCCCACAGGGCCATAACTTTGAAATATATGGCGGAAATTATAAACAAAATTCTCTCGAAAAGTTTCGACTTGAAGAAATTCGATTATAATGCTTATTTGAACACAGTGAAACTTTGAGGCGCCATCTGTTAGCGATCAGTGGATACAAAAGTGTATTCAGGATTTTTATGAGCTTCGCTTCCTTCAAAACTCATTTAATGCCAGCATTTACCTGTAATAAAGTGTACGGTGCAAAGCACGAGAGGTAGCGGTTTAGATGTTCTAACTTAATACGTTGAAGCAGTGGTGTAGCTAGGTAACCAAAAGCAAAAATCTGGGGCAAAAAATAAACTAGCTTAATAATATAGGGGAGTTCCCCGCAAGTTTCAGAGATGCTCTATACTTGTTGGAAATTCCCCTGTATTTTTTTTTTCAAATAAGTTACCATTATTAAAGTCGTGTTCCTGGAATCTGGTTTGTTTGTATTCCGAATGTGAGAGAAGTTTAACTAGTTCAATTTATAGTTTGTAAGTGAGAATCTGAGATTTCTCTGAGCTTGAGGGCCCTGGGGCACTACCCCGTCTAACCTTCCAGTTACTATGCCACTGAATTGAAGTAATATTTTCGTTTTATTAATATGTAGTGCAGTGTAAAAAGAAGATTTTTAATTAATTGTTGGATTAGTAATCAACAATTATATTATTAGATAAACCGCTTTATTTCTACATTTACCGCTTTTTTTTTACCAGACGGAGACTTTGTACAAAAGTCGTTTGCTTAAGTACCTCTATCCCATTCGTGTTTCAACCGTGAAGCAGTTGTGATTGCATGGCTGTGTTTCGGTTTGAAGGGTGGAATATGGCGTGAATTTACAGGGTACAGACGAACAACATCTGAGTCCTCAGAAATGGCAACGCATGGGGGTATCATGGGCGAAACAGTATACTCTATATATCCATGGTACTACTCATGTCTATAGGCGACGGTTACCACTTTACATCAGGTGGGCCGTCAGCTTGTTTCCCATTTTAAGTTGTATAAAAAAAGAAGAAAAAAAACATAGCATGTGTAAACATAAATACTATTCCATATTACATTTTCTGTATATAGCAGAATAGAATTTTTTACCATATGGATAAAAATTTAATAAAGATCCATTTGTGTTTTATATATATATATATATATATATATATATATATATATATATATATATATAATACATATACAGCTATATATCATATACCAATATCTCCACTTGGCGTTGGAAAACTTTTATTTCATCTTTTAAATCGACATAACAACCCCTTTCCAATCTTTGTCATTAGACGTTTCAGTCGACAAGTCTCTCTAATTACATAAACTAAGAGATATTGTATAGCATAATGTGATAATGTGGCTTGGCGTACGGACCATAAAATATGTTGAAATGTATGAAATGTTAATTAAGATCATAATTTCCTTAAAATCATTTAGTTCTCCTTATTTCCTAGCAGTTTTATGTGTTATATATATATATATATATATATATATATATATATATATATATATATATATATATATATATATATATATATATATATATATATATATATATATATGTTAATGTTGTATATTTGTACGTATTTATGCTGTCACAGATATTTATTATTTCATGTTATTTTTACAGATCTATTATTTTAACGCGCCACCTGTCTATTTTTTCTTTAATTCTTTCTACCCAAAGGTTGTCTGTAAGAGATTGCTTAGCAATAAGACCGCCTTTTGTACTACACTATACTTATCGAAAATTGTTCAACAAATCATGTAATGTTGGTGCGATAAAGTGTTAAATAAATAAATAAATAAAATAAATATTCATTATTATTAACTATGGTAACAATTAATGTAAAAGGATATTATAATTATGTTGTAATGGTATCACTATGGGTATACTTAAAGTAAAAATATATTATTATTAAAAATTAGATTAATACTATTAACGAGCCTTTTATGAGCGACTTACAATAAACAATTTATCTGGTAGAAAGTGGTAACTGTCGTCTATAGACATGAACTATATTGTAATATACTGTAACGCTCATATGTTGCTGTACCTAACGACTGGTGATGTCTCTGTATTCTATAATGTCTCTGACACGTCCTTTCAAACCTAGAGACGAAATCCCTATCGCGGTTTCTTCAAGAAAACCCGGAACTAAAAAAAGACGAAACGGGATTCCTTCAAGGCCGACACTGCATGCGTTATTGCCCCTAGTATTGTAGACGTTCATAAGCCATAGTAACCGCTTACCACCAGACAGGCCATGTGCTTGTTTGCCACCTCAGTGATATAAAAAAACATAGTTTTGAAAGCATAGCTGCTATGCGGAAGTAACTTAAGACGTATCCAGGCTGACATTCGTATAAAATCTTCCTTTGTCGTGTTTGACGAGAAAAACATTATTATATAAAGTTTATCGTGTAATAACGCTGCCGCTTGTGACTTGCAACATACATACGA